GGGGGGAGGGGGGAGAGGGCGGACAGAGCATGACTGGGAGGGAGATCACCTCTGCCTCTTTGCCAGGAGTAGTCATTTGGGCAGTTCCAGCTTTATCAAAACAAAATCTCTCAAGTAAACCAAATCTTCCACTGCGAATAAATGGCAAGTGATCAACAGGCTAAATAAATTCCTTTTGGATGTGGAACTCTGGGAGCTGGAGGTTGGATTTATTTCCCTCCTGGAGGCAATTCTCACACGCTACTTAAATCATTGCTTACTGAAGCTGGTTATTTAATTATTTAGCATTGTGACTGCGGGCCAGATGTTCCATAAGCACCGCTGAGAACCCACTCGCATGCCGGAACGACCTGCTTATGGGTCGCTCCTTCCACCCTCGAGTTCTCCACTGGCAGGCAGTCCAAGTCACCCACGGGCTGCGGACCCCCAGACGGCCATGTGCAGGGCTCCTGTGGGGACAGTGAGGCGCTTTCGTCAGCCAGGCCGGGCACGTAGGCACCCGTTTCCCTGCTGCGTGCGTATTCGCGGGGCTCCAGATGTTTGAGTCACAGTAATATTTCGGGGCACGTGGGCAACTGGCTTCTCGAAACGTCCATCTGTATACTTTTCTCTCGACCCTGGGGCCAAACAAATGGCATTTTCTGTCTGGAAGTACAATAATGCCGCTCAGACACCCGCACCCCTTTCCCTTTCCACTATGGGGTGCGTGCTGGCTCCTGTTTACTGCTGCTCGTAACATGCAGAGGGGGCACTGGTCACACCACTCAGCACATTGCCACGGCCACGAGGCCCATGTTTATCTCTGTAAGCACCACTGTGTACAATCGATCCTTGTTTACATTTCAGGAAATGCAGCTTAGAACCCAGTGGGCACTTCCCACAGCTGCTAGGCGCAGACCCGCTACATTAAAAGGAACCACACAGCCACATTCAGTGGGGGTCCATCTGCATCTTGCAACTGAGTTAGGTTCAAAGTCAGCACGTATGGCAAATATGGCTGGATTCAAGCTACCGTTAAAAATCTCGTTTATAGCCCGTAAAGTATGCGGGGCACGGTTTTGTGTATACTGTGCTCTCTCTCAATTAATTCAACACACTCGGCTTTTCCTCCAGCGCTGGAGCAGAGCGCTTTTCTGTGGTTGAGCCCCAGAGGAAGCAGCTGGCTTGTGTTTGGGGGCAACGCTACATGAAAAACAAATATCGTTGGATTTGCGTAAGTTAAATGTGTGTATATGAAGATGCTCTACCCTTTGGTAGAATCATGGGACACACACTACCTTCCCTTTCTCCACACTGTAAAACATGGTAGCAGATATTGCCTTTGTTGTTGTTGTTGTTAATCCTCAGCAGAAGCTATTTTTTCCATTGATTTGTAGAGAGTGGAAGGGAAGGAGGAGCGGGGGGAGAGAGACACATCAACTAGTTGCTTCCCGTGGGGCGGGGATGGAACCTGCCACCCAGGTACCTGCCCTTGACCTGGAATTGAACAGCGACCCTTCAGTGCGAGGACCAAGACTGTCCACTGAGCCACGCCAGCCAGGGCAGACAACGCTTTCTTTAGTTCTCGTGGTGTAACGTTCAAGCTTTGCTTCTACATTTTCTGAGTGCGTAGCATGACCAGGTGCTGCTAAGTCCTTTCTTCTCTTACCTGTTATTAGCTGAGTGAGCACTTTAGTCTGGTCATTGAGAATGTTCACTGTCACGTTTCTGGCTGATTTGAAGTACAGGGCATTACCCTGTAATGAGAAAAGAAGAGAAACACATGAAAACAATAGAAGATTTCTAAACAAAACACTGTAATCTCAACTCTTGAAGAGGCTGAACTGATCTTAGCCAAGCTCTAATTGATGCGTCTTTATTTAAAAACTTCAAATGTTTAATGATCCCCACATGTGATAATTGGCATCCATCCAAAAATGGATTTCCTCCAAAGAAATACACAGATAGATATACATTTAACAGAGATTTCCCTAACACACACACACACACACACACACATACACACGGTTGAGTCAGAGACAACTGGGCTACATAGAACCCTTTAGAGTTAGTGTTGGTACATGGAATGATCAGGAATGACTGATAATCTAATCCCTCTTTTCCTAGTTTATAATTTGTCCAAAGGAACATGGCAGAGTTCCTTGGAGTTAACAGAGGGCAGAAGGTGTGTGTAAGACAGCCGATGTCTGCCCTCTGGCATGTCCACCGGCTGTGAGAACCCAGGAAGGCGGAAATCTCTTAGTGGAGACTTTCCCCACGCAGGTGCACAAAACCCAGGAGACCAGGCGCCTCCCAGTGCCTCTGTCCCCCCTTTTTCCTTCTCTTGTTTGCAGATTTCTTTTCCTTCAGGCATTCTGTGACTTCCTCCAATTCCCCCTTTATCAAAAAGGCCACCCTCTTTTTCACACCATGGTAGACATTTCTGAGAACAACTCAGAATCAGGGTTGGCAGACTTTTTTGGTATAGGATCTGACAGTAAATAGTTTAGGCTTTGTGGGATGTACAGTCTCTGGGGTAACTACTCAAGTGCTAACTGCTGTTTTGGTGCAGAACAGCCACAGATAACACACAGACAAATGGGTATGGCTGCATCCCCACAAAACTTATTCATAAACAATGACATTCGAATTTCATAGAATTGAAAAATTCAAGCTTAATGTAATCTTACTGTGTCATGAGTAGTCTTCTTATTTTTGCCCCCATCAATCATTTAAAAAATGTAAAAATTAGAGTACCAGAAGGGAGGGGGAGTGGGGGAGTAGGAGAGGGTAAGGGGGCGATAAATGGAGACAAAAGGAGACTTTGGCTGGATGAACACACAATACGATACACAGACGATGCATTATGGAACTGCACACCTGAAACCTATGTAATTTTATTTTTTATATTTTGTAATCCTCCCCCAAGGATATGTTTATTGATTTTTAGAGAGAGGAAGGGGCAACGAGAAAGAGAAACATCAATATGAGAGGGAAATTTCAATCAGTTGCCTCCTGCATGTGCCCCAACTGGGAATTGAACCTGCAACGTTTTGGAGTATAGGATGATGCTCTAACCAATGGAGCCACCCAGCCAGGGCACTATATAATTTTATTAACCAATGTCACCCCAATAAATTCAATTAAAAAAAGAAAAAGAAAAAATATATAAACATTATTCCACATGAGAACTGGCAGAGGACTGGATTTAGCCAACAGGCCACAGTTTGCCAACCTCTGGCTTAGAGTTCTCCCTCTCCTGGAGTAAATTAAAGCCATAAACTAAAGGAGGAATCCCTGAGAGAGCATGTCAGTAATCAGATAGTTGTTATTAGGAAAAAAAAAGTGGGTATTCTCATCTTTCTAAACTGTTGTTACTACATGGCATATATGTGCCTGAAAATTCAGTAATCCCAACATCCACTGAGTCTCAAACACAGAAAAACCATCGTCGTAAGAGTTGTGAAGAAACTGAAGACAGGCAGGCCTCAGTCATTACTTTTAAAGTCATGTTCCAATGGGAACGATGAGATGGGCATCCATGTGACAGCAGGAGGAGAACAGTAGGGTGATTACGGAGCTAAAAACAAAGCGTGGGGGAACTTTCCTGAAGGGTGAGATTATTATAGCTGTGGAGTGGGTAGCAAAGGAGGTGTTAATGCTTGAGCTGAGCTTTGAAAAGAACACAGACAGGGTTTTATAAAGACGAAATGAAAAAAGGAGGCCATGGAGATGGGAAGGTGGTGGGCTGGTTGTCTAATGTCTTTTCTGTCTGAAACTGGTGCGTGTAGGACCCAATTAGTGAGCCCAGCCTAGTGCCTGCAAATGGCAGGGCTGTCCCGACAGGCAGCCAACACCCACCCAGACCTGAGGTGCTTTCCACAGGTGAATGGGCGGATGGGTGGCCAATGCCAAGGCATTTTTCCATAGACAAATGGTCTGGAGTTAAGGTCTGTCTCACCCAAGGTCAACTGCTACAATGGATAACAAACGACCCGCTCAGGCCCTAAATAATCAGTAGCCTTGGGTGAGAGCTGCTGTCCCAGTGTTGGGGGAGAGGCAATGACCTCTGCTACATCAGGGCAACCACAGATTCACCATAATGCCCCAGAACGGCTGGCTTCAAATTAACATTTGCCTGATGAAAAAAGTTTGTTTTTTAAATTGGGTCAGAGAAGAAGCAATACATTAAATGTAATATTGACACAAGTTTCCTTCTATCCATTAGAAAACAACAATCAGCCAGAAATAGTTTCTTTGGCATTGCTTCCGGCAGTGCTTAGCGGCTGTACTTACAACTTAAAATGTGAGAATTCAGAGCTTGGAACCTGGACAGGAGGTTATACGTGTCTAGACGTTAACATTCTAACATTTCTCTTTGTAGATTCAGCAACCTGACACTGCAGAGACAAGAGCAACCTGGAATCAGAGAACTGGGTGAACTGCATCGCCTCTGACCAGTGTGGGGCCTTGAGAAAATGACGTAACTGTTCTGTGGTTCACTCCACCGTTCACACACTCAGGGCGCACGTACCTGAGCGCTCACTCTGTGCCACATGGGCAGGAGACACCTGGAGCCAGCCCATCCTGTTTCCAATCTCTACCACCTCCTAGTTGGGTAACTTTGAGCACATTACTTAACTGTGCCAAGGCCCAGTTTCTTTATATGTAGGATAGTGCAAACATTAACTATTATTAAAATACACCTATTTTCAAATTATTAAATTCTATGTGTAATAACACACTTGTTCCTGTGCCAGGCACACAGTAAGTTCTCTGAAGATGTTATGGTAAGGGCATGGGAGGAGAGGGGGTTTAATGACAGAGGCAGGGCGGGGTGGGCAGGAGGGGCAGAGGGAGAGAAATGAGAAAGACCCTCCTTCTGTACAATGAGGCAGGGTCTTCTTCCATTCCCAACATTCTCCGCTTCTGTATTTCAAAGGCTCTCCCTATATGTGGCTGGCTCACCACTACATTTCAAATCTCAGTATCTTCAAATGCCACCTGCCTGCTCTTAATATTATCCAAATGTTTCTACTGGGGAAAAAAAATCTTCTAATGGTTTTGACCAAGGTTTACACCAAGAGATCTAAAAAGCCACTGTTCCTTTTAATTACCATGTCAAAATATTATAATTTAGCATTAGTTGTTCTAATATACTAACCTCCTGGTAAACAGTCTTTGCTCTATCAGGGTTTAAACAAAGAGCCTCATGCTTGCCTGGGACACACTGCTGTAATCCTTCTAAATACCCGATAACAGAAAGGTGACCAGGAAAAAAAAGGCATTTACCAGGAGACAAACAAATGGGAAGAGGCTGGCAAGGCAGCTGGGTGGTGTGATTTTGTTTGGCTCTCTGGGTCTGCTTACTGGACAAAACCAGGGAAATCTGAGCCAAGCAAAGCGTCCCTGGGGTCTCTAGGTATTAGAACAGCCCAAGGAAATACTCCTGGGAGTCTGGGAACAGAGACAGAGCACCCCTTCTCGCAAGGTGGGAGGGAAGGACAGCCCACACCGGTCCTCTCCCCACATAAGTAACGCACTCAGCACTGTGATGGAGAGGAATCCCCGCATCGCATCTGTTCCGCTAAAGCAGAACAGAATCACAGCTTTTCTGGATGACTCTAGACCACTGAAGTGAATGCTGTTTGCTCTGAAATGCCCTCTGGGCTACTGTCTGCATGTGGCTATTTGAACACTAAATGGCTCCATCCTGCCAACATTTTCAAATTATTGTATCTGAGCTTTAAAAATGTATTATTTATTCTTATATCAAAACAGCACATGTAAACATCAAATACTACAAAACCCGTATCAAAGGACAGCGGTCCACACCCCTCACCACTGCAAGAACTTTCAACTTGCTAGTGTGGACCAGAAAGGGGCTCTGTGATAAATCCAACTGAAAGTACCTCACAGGGTGACGTGATCAGAAATTCCTAACTGGGCAGTTNAAATCCAAATGAAAGTACCTCACAGGGTGACGTGATCAGAAATTCCTAACTGGGCAGTTATGGTGGGTGGTCACACCCCAGGTCTAGAACTTCTTTAGGGAAAGGTTTAAGCAAGCCTGTCCATTGATCTTGCGCATCTAGGTTAACACACCGTGAAAAGCCAGAAGTAATGCTCTTTTCCATACCCCTCCAAGGCATAAGCACCCTCAGGGGAGCACAGAATCCTACTAACTATCCTGTATCTGCTTTCTCCCACCTTCATGTAATCTTTCCTTCCCTCATTAATTCCAAAGGTATAAAAGAAACTGTAAAACTGTCATTCTCTGGAGCATTTGAGATCTTGCTTCCCAGAAATGTCCTCAGTTTTGGCTCAAATAAACTCATAAAAATTCTCTATAGGTTTAAACGCTTCTTATGTTGACACCAGGAAACTCCTTCCCTGTGGCCCAAAGTATGCTCCTGTATGTGATCTCTTGATTTATCAACTTTAGACATGATCCCATTGAATTTCTGCAATGCTAGGGACTCTTCCTTACACCTTCAGTTAAGTCAACATTCAGAATCTATATTACTGTGACTGTGTCATATTGTCCACAGCTGAGTCAAGCAGTATTCTTTAACTACATACCCTTTTTCTTTCTTGCACAGTTTTCTTTGCCTGAAGTCAATAAATGTTAAGCATCTTATATACACTGAGTACCTAGAACATGTTATATACTGTCCTAGGCCCTGTAGAATGGAAAAGATATGACCTTCATCTCTGAGAAGCTCCTTGTCCAGGGGGAGGCTGAGTCAATGCAGAA